GCCCTAAACTGTAATAAAAGTACATTTTCTCTTTCAAACAAAAGATGCAAATCAAAAACTAGTAAGCCTGGAAGAAAAAGGTATGTAAACAGCACGGGGTGACATCTTAACGAAAAGGTTTTTAAAGTGTCTGTCCAAAGAAATTTCGAAAGCCGCGTCGGCGGGCGGCGGGCGGTTGGCGGCGGGCGCTGGGCCGGTTCACCGTACGGCGCGTCGTCCCCAATCCCTGGTTTGTTGTAAGACTGCACGGAGAGGTTTCGGTTTCGTGCGAGCGACTCGAAGCGGTGTTTCCGAAGGATCAAACCCGAATGCATGAACAATGTACGCTGTGACAAGTATAACGTCCAATGTGTTCGAATTCCTTGGTACTGTAGTGATTTGAAATAATTCTATTACCGAGTGCATTGTTTTACGGTCAGACCTACGGAGGTTTTGTTTGTCGGTTAAACGTACAAAAAGTAGTTCGCCCCTAATTCGCCTCGGCGGCGTTGTTTGCCGAAAACCTCCTGTTTATTAAGTGTGTTCATATGAGGATGATTATAGACAAAGTTGGTTCGTTGCTGTCGAGATTCGAAAGAATTGTATTTGATTACATAATTTGTACAGTGTGCAATGACGCTCAGTAGTTGTGTGATTACTTTAAGTTGATTGAGGGCGCTATTCACGTTTAATGGTCAAGCCTACGCGCACTTTTTTTTTCGGGAGTTAAAGGTACGAAAAGTAGTTCTCGCGTAATTTGCTGTTTTGGTATCGCAGTTCGCCAAAGCGCTAAAGCTCTTATTGAAAGTACGTGTATCATGATAGTATTAAAGATAGGAACTGCTGCATTTCTTTGATTCTCATTTCTTACCGACCCTAATTTTAGGCTCCCGACCAGAAAAAAAACCTGGAGCCTCTAGAACACTCTTCACCGTAATGTAACAAATAGGGAAAATAGATTCAGGAAATCAGGCTCTGTTACATTTGAATTGATTGAAAATTAATATCGATTTACGCGAAGTATACGGTATAACAACCAGTAGAATCCCAGAGAGGACGCCTCTCATTAGGTGTCTATATGGGTGCAGACTGCAAATCGACTCCCACAGACCTCATTGATAATGATGTGTTTTTCCCAAAATTATTTTTTTAAAATCATCTCAACTCTCAAAAGGTGTATGACGCACCCACCAAATCAAGGCTTATTCATTATCTTTTATTTTCTGTTCAATTTTTTGTTCCATTATCCGATGACTTATGGGAGGAAATTACATCAAATGATGTCAGCCCGAAAAGGTGTCCCGTAGCCCATCGCCAATTTGAAAAATGATGCTTGGCTCCATTGCAAAATAGAGCAATTTTAGGGCCCAATTTCATGCAAATTACACAGAAATACGAGCTCACACTCTGTATACGGCTTCTACCCATCTTTTTTGGAAACATCAAGTTCAAGGCACACATTGGTGTTCTAATAGCAAAGAATTAAAGCATAATTTGGTCCGCATATTATACAGTTAATGTGTGTCATGGGTGCCACTCAACCAAATTCATGATAAAACCATGATAAAAATGTGCCCAGAATTAAAAACATGTGCAAAATAAAACACTTTTTTAAGAGGGTTGCAGACGCTTTAAATTGAAACAAAAGGACTTTTCTCTTTAAAACAAAAGATGCAAATCAAAAACTATAAAAAAAAAAGGTACGTAAACAGCATGGGGTGTCATCTTTGCGAAAATGTCTTCAAATTGTCTGTCCAAAGAAATTTCGACAGCCGCACCGCCGGGCGGCGGGCGGCGGGACGGTTCACCGTACGGCGCGTCGTCCCCAATCCCTGGTTTGTTGTAAGACTGCACGGAGAGGTTTCGGTTTCGCGCGAGCGACTCGAAGCGTTGTTTCCGAAGGATATAACCCCAAATGCATGAACAATGTGGGCTGTCAAAAGTGTAACGCCCAATGTGTTCAAATTCCTTGGTACTGTAGTGATTTGAAATAATTCTATTACATAGTGCATTGTTCAATGAATATTATTTGTGGTGATCCTCTCGATTGAGGGCACTATTTAAGTTTAACGGTAAGACCTACGCAGGTTTGGTTTGTGGGTTAAACGTACAAAAAGGAGTTCGCCCATAATTCGCCTCGGAGGCTTAGTTTGCCGAAAGAGCTCCTGTTTATTACGTGTGTTCATATTAGGATGATTATAGACAAAGAGGGTTCGTTGCTGTCGTGATTCGAAAGAATTGTATTTGATTACATAATTAAGTGTGCAATGACGAGTAGTAGTTGTGTGATTACTTTAAGTTTATTGAGGGCGCTATTCAAGTTTAATGGTCAAGCCTACGCGCACTTTGTTTCGGGAGTTAAAAGGAACGAAAAGTAGTTCTCGCGTAATTTGCTGTTTTTGTATCGCAAAAGCGCTACAGCTCTTGTTGAAAGCACGTGCAAGGATTAAAGATAGGAACTGCTGCATTTCTTTGATTCTCTAACAGACCCTAATTTTAGGCTCCCGACAAGACAAATACTCCTAGAACCTCTAGAACACTATTCACCGTAATGTATCAAATGGGGCTAATAGATTCAGGAAATCAGGCTCTGTGATATTGGAAGTGATTGAAAATGAATAACGATTTACGCGAAGTATACGGTATAACAACAACCAGAGGAATGCCAGAGAGGATGCCTGTTATTCGGGTGCACACCTGCACATCGACTCCCGGATAGACCACAGTGATAATAACGCGTATTTCCGAAAATAAGTTTTAAAATACTTGCAACTCTCAAAGGTGTTTGACGCGCCCACCAAATCAAGGCATATTCATTATCATTTATTTTCTGTTCAATTTTTGTTCAATTTTTGGGTGACTTTATAGGAGGCAATTACATAGATTGATGTCACCCCGAAACGTTGTCCCGTAGCCCATCGCCATTTTGAAAAATGATGCCTGCGCTCCATTGCAAAATAGAGCAATTTTAGGGCCCAATTTCATGCACATTATTTCACAGAATACGAGCTCGCTCTCCTGTGTACGGCTTCTACCCATCTTTTTTTTTAAACATCAGGTTCAAGGCCCAGATTGGTGCTCTAATAGCAAAGAATTTAAGCATACACATTGTGATTTGGCCCTCATTTTATACATGTAATGTGTGTCATGCATAGCGCATGCTACTAAACCAAACTCATGATAAAATCATGATAAAGATGTGCCCAGAAAAAAAAAATTGCAAAATAAAACTCTTTTTTGATCAGAGGGTTTCAGACGCCCTGAATTGGAATAAAAGTGCATTTTCTATTTAACACAAAAGATGCAAATCGAAAACTGAAGGAAAAAGGTATATTCACAGGACGGGAAGACATCTTTACGAAAAGGTTTTCAAAGTGTCTGTCAAAGAAATTTCGAAAGCCGCACCGGCGGGCAGCGGGCGGCGGGCGGCGGGCGGCGGGCGGCGGGCGGCGGGCGGCGGGCGGCGGGCGGCGGGCCGGTTCACCGTACGGCGCGTCGTCCCCAATCCCTGGTTATTGTTGTAAAAGTGCACCGAGAGGTTTCTGTTTCGCGCGAGAGATTCGAAGCGTTGTTTCCGAAGGATCAAACCCCAAATGCACGAACAATGTGCGCTGTCAAAAGTGTAACGCCCAATGTGAGGCGTGTTCGAATTCCTTGGTAGTGTTACCGAGTGAAGCATTGTCCAGTGAATATTATTTGTGTTGATGCTCTCAATTAAGGGCACTATTTAAGTTTAACATCAACGGTCAAGCCTACGCAGGTTTGGTTTGTGGGTTAAATGTACGAAAAGTTAGTTCGGGCATAATTAGCCGTTTCGGCGACGAAGTTCGCCGAAATAGCTCCTGTTTATTGAATGTGTTTATATTAGGATAATGATTATAGATGAAGGGGTTCGTTGCTGTTGTGATTCGAAAGAATTGTATTTGATTTGTACAGTATACAATGTCAATCAGTACTTGTGTGATCGCTTTAAGTTGATTGAGGGCGCTATTCAAGTTTAACGGTCAAGCCTACGCGTATTTTGTTTTGGGGGTTAAATTTACGAAAAATAGTTCACACATAATTTGCTGTTTTGGTAACGTATAGTTCGCAAAAACAGCTCTTGTTAATTGCGTGTGTTTCATATTAGGATTAAAAATAGGAACCGCTGCATTTCTTTGATTCTCATTTCAATTTTGATGATGTCATCACGTTTCTCAGGTCACCGTACAAATAGATATCCTATATTCCCCTCTACTTTGTATCCATTCAAAAACCATTACTCCATTCACATCTGAAAAAAAAAATTGTAGGAGAAAAATGAGCTAATTATTGAAATAGTTATTCATCGAAACCTTTTGAAACCAAAAGTGGGATGCTGACGTCTGTGCCCATTGACTGCCAGTAGAGAATAATATTGTTTCAATAATTGTGTGGTTCATGTATCACTGTAAAAAAGTCGGGCAAAATGGGTTGATAATTCGACCAACGCTGGTCGAATTATCAACTGCCAACACTCGGGGCAAATACTTCCCAATAGTTTGACAGCTTTTACCCAATTCAACCCAATATGAGATAATTTCATACCAATTCTGGGTATATTACATTGCCCAACAGTGTTTTATCCAACCTTTTTTACAGTGTATATAGAAACAACGCGTGAATGATGCAAATTACGTGATTTGTTTTTAGAGTTACTATAGTCAATAACATACATGTATGTACTTTATTACCATGATATGTTTGCATTCAATGGAGCAAGCCACATATCATTTTAGTGCTTTTTCTTTCACGGTCATTGTCTTATTGACACCCTGGAGCTATACAGCCTGTGCACAAACACACTGACGGATAACCACTGATTTACTAAACAATGATAACAATGCGAGCTTTTAATTCATTCCAAATTTGTACATCAAGAAAAATACATCATTTTTTTTAACCACGCTCACTCTAATACCTTTTTTGGTTTGTGAACTTAAATTTAGACCTTTAAACAAAAAAGAAAATTTGAAAGCCGAAAAGTTTGGGTTTTTTCGGGGTTTTTTTCGGAAATATTATTATAATTTCCGTTTAATATACAGATCAGTTTCGTGTGTCTAGTAGAGATGACAGAAATCTTTAACCGAGGGCCGGATCGTGAGTGAGCACACGAGCAGGTACAATGACGGGGATAATCCGTGATTCTCTAGATTAAGCTAAAAATCCTTCGACTCGGTTCCTTCTATAATGCTTCCGAGTCGAAAAGGGGTGTAATTGAGAGAGAAGTCTTATTGTTCGAGCATTGACGGCAAGTGATGTGAATTGTGATTCATTGCAGTTCTGAGACAATAATTATTGTCCGACCACTGACGGCAAGTGATCTTTCAGTTGAAATATTTCTACAGTTCAAAATAGTAACAGTTGTTGATTGCCTTATAGTCGGTGACATCAGCCACAAGACGAGTGACATCATTGAGTTGACACATCTTTTCTCTTTCGGTGTTGCTCTGCCAGAGATTAAAGGAGCGGCATCGGGGATCGGCTCGGCACGCCCAGCCACAGGCAAGCACGCCAGCTTCCGTCCGATTCTTGATGTCGTGATGGAGGAGGCATAGCTGGGGGACACGCCCATCAGGACCGGTGAAGGTGTGGTAGGCTGTCATCGCAGAGACCGTCATCTCACAGGCTGCAGGTTTGCGGTTGCTGCAAGGAACACTGTCGGACCATAAGCCCCCACCACCGTACGCAGTCATCCGGGCGCAGTTACGCTGGTTGTCGTTGTGCGGATTTCGCCCATTCCAACTGCTGAAAGTCATAGGTTGACCTCCGCACAGCCAGATACCCTCTTTGGCCGCATCCGTACAGCCTATCCACATACCGTCAGTCTGTGGCCTCACTGACTTCCAGATGAAGTCGTTTTCTTCCCGCGAGTTGGGCACGGCCAGACTGCTTCCCGGCCGGTTACAAGCCTCCGAGGCCTCAAACCAATTCATCTTGTCCGGTAGTAAAATGTAGCAAGATTGCTGCCATTTCAGCCAGCCAGGCGGGCAGGAGGCGTAGAGGGCCTGGCAGCTTGGTAAATTGATGAAGACCGAGACAAGCATCAGAACAAACCTTGCTGTCCACCAAGCCATCGTACCGTTGAATGCTGCCAACTATACGTGTGTATGATCTTTTTATACTCACTGCAATTTTAATCGTGTACGTAGTTTAAGGACGCATTTAAATTGCAACAAATTATTCATCTCAAGTACTGCTAATTATCACCATGGCGCCTGCATCGTTGGTAGAAGAGAAACCATGGTGACGAAATGTAATACGTGGGAAAAAATCCCAATGAGGCAACCGTTTAAAGTATCATTGCATTGTATACCTACATAGTATAACAATGAAGTATATCAGTACAAACACACTTATTGTTCCAGTGAGAGACACTGAACAAAATTAAATTTTATTCTTATATTCTGAAACTATTGAAAATATATTCTCAAAATTCGAAGAGAACGGCAAATGCATCTTCCTGAATTTTAGAACTGATAGAGATTTTGTTTCCTCTTTTTGCAATGACGCTCTATAACAGACAGAAAACAAAACCTGGTTGTATTAGGCCTTACTAGAGAACATTTTACTACAATTATAATATTTTTCCACATTAAGAAAGCAACGACTGAACAATCTTTGAAATGTGCTTAACAACTGGTAGGTTTCTTTCTCGTCAGGTCTTTTCATTTGGTAAATTGTTGAGATCAAGGGAAATATCTCACGACAGTTTGTTTGTTAACCATGCTTTGAATGATGACGAACACACGAAATTATCATGACGGTGACAACAGCGCTTGCTGGTAAGTGAAGAAAACGCTTCAATTATCTTGCTTTAACTGGTCGACAATTAGTCAATTACGAAGACAATAATAGCTTTGCTGAGTGTACTGCCTCCAAGGTCGGAGAGTTTATTGATGTGGAACATATGAAATAATGGAAGTCAGGGGCGTATAGTTTCCATGGTAAAGCGTCAATAAGTAAACGATTTTACGGTTGGCCTTGAGTGTATGCTTTTTATGAGTTTATGATGTGGTTGAGAAAACAACCGGCAAGACTCTACGCTCCAACATGTACGCTTAAAGTTGTTTGTCTTCAGGAGAATGCTAGGCTTTTACAGAGGAAAGGGTTTTAATACTATATCCAGGTTGTTCCCCAGTTTTGTGCCATGTTCCCTGTAGGTAACATGTAGAGTGCTATACACGCCGGGGTTGCTTGATCTGTGAAGCTGTCAGTGGAATTTTGGGACCTGAGTAAAAAAAAAAAGAAATACACGTACGTGTATGTATTGCTTCAGTCCTCAAAATCCTCTCCAGTCCAGAGAATCCCAACTTCTTAATCACAACATTGACTCTCAGACGAAGAGGCTTTCTTCTGGTAAACTTTCGGCCGGTTAAGCCTCAGAGGCCTCAAACCAATTCATCTTGTCCGGCAGTAAGATGTAGCAAGATTGCTACCATTTCAGCCAGCCAGGCGGGCAGGAGGCGTAGAGGGCCTGACAGACTGGTAAACTTATGAAGATCAAGACAAGCATCGGAGAACAACTTGCTATGATAAACCATGCCATGCTTGGTATATTGACGAAGATCAAGACACAACTAAAACCAAAATGTCTGAACACTATCCACACCAAATGTTATCTACATTGTAGAATATGACAACCTTTTAACAATACATTTTGCAGTTGCCATTTCATTCAACAGTTCTTGAACTTGCGTCAACAAACACGTTGTTGCTATGATGTCTTATTTCGGATCTCCAAAAGGGGATAAGCGCGGCGTTATGAATTGTACTCATTTTATCTGTGCTATTATTTTCAAGTAACAATAAATTTGTTGAAACTCTTGACAATGTATAGTTTTACAATGCAAGAGAACTATGAAAGATACACGGTGAACATTTTAACTACAAGAACTCAATTTTGATAGCACACATCCAAACGTTTTAGTAACTGCAACATAGTTGTGCAATTATTAGTGTTCAGTTAGAAACTTGTGCAGTCCTCACTAGCAAAATCGGAGACATTTATGCATGGGTGCAGTGTTGCGACTTAGTGTGCATATAGATACGGCTCGGCCCCGTGCGAGTGGTATAGCGCCCTCTGCAGCCATTCAGAGGAATTTTACTCAGCATGTAACCTTTGGAATACAATTATGTTGTTTGAAGCATTTAAAGTGAGTACATGTACTTGCGAAAAAAAACTTCAAGTCTGTTTACGTGTAACATAAAAGAATACTATAATAAAATATATGGTGCCAAATCCATTGAAATGCTCCTAGCCTATAGGCGCTTTACATAAGCATTAAGACAAAAAATCCGTTCTTAGCTCCTTGTGGTACAAACGAATAGTTGACTTTAAAATCAATCCTCTAAAGATAAACATTAAATCCATACGAATCCAATGACGCACTAAAAACTATAGCATACCATATACCACAAACATCAACACTGTACATCATCATGCATGTAAATATTCAGCCTTTAGAATGGTTAAATATACTAAATATTACTTAGCACACAGTAACAATGCAAACGTTACACACAATTCTATACAATATCGATTGAACATTGTTATAAATTACATCGAGCATATTGCAACATAACAACTAATTGTTGTCCTTAATCAGCCTTCTGAATTGCTATACAGGGTGAGTAAGAAAAAAACGAAACCCAAATGTCGGGACTATTGTTTTAGTAAAGTTCTAAATGTAGCACTTTCAAAATCTAGGAAATGTAAGCCCAATTCATAAGCTTTCTTTTAGTACAAGAATCATTCAAATCACTTATGTTCTTTTCAAGTAACGGGCTTTTAAACACGATCACCGTTTTAAAGTTCTGTCCACGGATCACAAAAAGGTAAGTGTTCTTTCAGAAAAACGAAAACAAAATCACAAATGGATGTGCGTGCATTGTTTTCGTTTTGCTGAAAGGACGCACACCTTCTGTGTGATCCGTGGACAGAACTTTAAAACGGTGGTCGTGTTTAATAGCCCGTAACTTGAAAAATGCATAGGTGATTTGAATGAATCTTGTACTAAAAGAAAGCTTATGAATTGGGCTTTCATATCCTAGATTTTAAAAATGTTACATACAGAATTTCACTAAAACAATAGTCCCGACATTTGGGGTTCGTGTTTTTTGACTCGCCCTGTAATTGTCAAGATTATGATTGTTACAGATCTCACTGAGTTTCGCAATTCTTGACCAAAGACATCTAAAAAGTTTGAATCACAGCTCTTTTTATCTGAAACCAAAAAAAAAGAGACTTCTTGGTCCGGGAGTTTTGCCGATCGAATACAATCGGGCCTCTTTGGTCATTCACGCATTACACAGAATGAACTTAGAATTTGAAGAAGAAGTATGTCCTATACGCTGAACGAACGGTCATTGACACGAAAAGAATTGAAAGCGGTGTTCGTGCATCGCCAATTTCTTGTTATTTTCATGTCAAAATGCTTGCCCTTTCTTGTGCTCGTCGTGGATTTGTGGTTCCGAGAAAACAACCCAAAGAACTCCACTTTTCGGTCGATGCACTCTAAAACGTCAGTGTTTAGATATAATCTGGAATGCGGATACTATGGCTCCGCGCTCCAACAAAGAGGGCGTGTTTTTACCACTTTTGAGAGCCCTGTTAACAGGACAAACACTCAGGCTCGGATCCAAAAACAAAATTTCAATAAAAAAATCATGAAAAAAATCCCCCCCCCCCCGCTCTGACACCCACATTTTTTTTACTGGTAATAATGTCCGCCTTTGCACAAAATACGGACAGAGCCAGCTTGGTATAGGGGGTATAATGTACACTATTCTGTGATATATCGTTTCTAATCGTCGGATTTCAACAGCGCCCCCACTCAAAGTATGGTACGAGCGTGAGGAGGAACACTTTTATTTTTAAAGGCCAGTTTTTCATATGAGAGGGGCACAATTTTAATGTTGCGAGCAGGTCACTAATAAAAGTGTGCTTTCGAGGAGCAGTTTCCACCTCGAGAAGTTATCGCGAGATGCACTATTTTTTGTTAGCCAATTTTCAATCTTGAGAGGGGCACAATTTTGTTATTGCGAGAACCCCTCTTGTGCTTTCGAGGGGTAGTTTTCCATCTCGAGAAGGTGCACAATTTTGTTAATGCGCATGCGAGACGGGCACTCGTGTTTTTTTTTTGGGGGGGGGGCAGTTTGATTACAAGAGAGGAGACAATTGTATTTGTAGCGCGATCATATGCTTTCATGTGTGCGTTTGAGGGGCAGTTTTGTTTTCATCTCGAGGGGTCACATTTATAAACGCAAGAGGGGAACTTTTGTTATCCTGGGAAAAATCTTGGGGGCAAGCTTCCCCCTGCCCCCCCCCCCCCGGTTCCGCCGCCCCTGTTGCAGATCTACCACGAAAACAACAATGTTTAAGTCTTTGTTTTTTTTACATAACGAAGGAAACATTTGTATTCGTTGTTCACACTTACTTTTTACAACCTCTTGTTGGTACACATGTACATCTAAATCTAAACTTAACTCAGTTTTGATGATAATGTTCACAAATTAAAAAAGAAACAGTCAATGTTCGTGTCCATTGAAGATGACATGAACAGACGACTTCAACTGGCATCCAGATTGTATGTTGTACATCCCGTGACCAAACACAAATACGGCAAATTTGAGATTGAGATTCTAACCTTAAACTCAGCTACTTCTAAAACAAGGCATCGATGTTTGTAAGTTCCAATCAATCAGCAGTGTATTTATAATAAAATGCGTAATAAGGTAGCAGTGTATTTCCAACAGTAGTATAGTGTTCATCCGAGCATTGACGGCACGTGTTCTTTCGGTGAAATATTTTCACAAATTAAAAAAGTAACAGTTGTCGGTTGCCTTGAAGTCGTTGTCATCAGCCACAAGACGAGTGACGTCATTGAGTTGACACATCTTTTCTTTCTTGTTGCTCTGATAGAGATTAAAGGAGCGGCATCGGGGATCGGCCCAGCACGCCCAGCCACAGGCAAGCAAGCCCTCTGCCGTCAGATTCTTGATGTCGTGATGGAGGAGGCATCGCTGGGGGACACGCCCATCGAGACCGGTGAAGGTGTGGTAGGCTGGTACCGAAAAGGGTGTCATCTCACAGGCAGCAAATCGCTGTCTATTGCAAAGTGTCTTATCGACCCAACGCCATCCTTCGTAGGCGGATATACGGGCGCAGTTACGTTTATTGCTTCTGCTTGGGTAGCTCGGATGCCAGTTGGTGTATTGTGCAGGCTGA